CAAAGAAATTTGACCAATTAAGTCAATATTTTAAGATGAAAATTTCTCATGCTGGAATGTTGGAGAAACTACATATGAATTATCTTTGTTTATTCTACTTCTCTTTTAAAATGAAGTTAACTTCATCTAGCGTTTCCAACTTTTGGCATCGGTCAACTTTAGAAAACCATGAATAAATCCCAGAGAAGTGGAACATGGTCTAATGTTAGGTTACACAAGGTGACCAGATCTTTGCACATTTTCTTGACCATAGTTTATTACACACACACACACACACACACACACACACACACACACACACACACCCCAGAACTGAAAAGCAATTGGAAGAGAAATTAATGGCTTGGCAGATTTTCCACTGTGCCATTGGGATTCCTTTTCTTTTACAATTTACACTTCTCTGAATTTTAAATTTTTCACTGTACATTTTTCTTATACTTCATGGTAAATTGGTACTATAGGAAATGTTCAAGTTTTTTATTATTTTATATTCTCTAATCCTTCTTACTACAATGTTAAGATCAAGAATATATATTGACATTAATAGTTAGTTGACTGCGAATATTGATCAAAATTGTTTCATTTCTTTAGGTTCCATTTTATTACTTGTAAAACAAGACCTTTAAGTTGGTTACTACCCAAAACTCTTACTTAGTAACATTAGTTAACATTGTTAACATTGTTATTTAGTAATATTGTTAACACTGTAGAATTATCTGACTCATTGCATATGTTTTTTTTTTTACTTTAATATAGTCCTTTATGGCACACCACTGCCATCAGTCATCAGTGAAATTAGACTTGTTGTATTTTTTGAATGTTATTAATCATTTCCATACCACTGAGTCATCTTGTGGTTTAGGTTCTTTGTAAATTTGCAAGATATTAAAACAGTATTTGCAAATCTAGTAACTTTAGGCATATTGTGCATGTGATCTAAAATTTCATATTACAAATATGCAAATCTACTATCCTAAATGTGCAAATTGCTCTTCATACACTTCAGATGACTTGCTTGCTTGAAGCTAAAGTTGTGCAGGTATAGAAAAAAAACTTATCACTACCTGTAATATTTACTGATGTGGTGAAAACCTTTCAATAGGAACCAAGTTGGTGGCTGTAATGCTTAGCTAAAATGTTACAGGAGTTTCAGCCACTTCACTAAGTAACATAGAGAGTAGAAAATAACATTATTAATAAACAACAAAATACCAGCTCTTATTCTCCTTATAGTACTGAATCATGAGAATCAAATATTTTGATAACATAGGAACTTAAACATGCAATGATAGTATGTATGTGAGATCATAATATTTTACTTTTTAAGAACATAAAATTGGCTGGTGAAAAGGCTCAGCAAGTAAAGGTACTTTCTCCACAAGTTTGAGGTCATGATGGAAAGAGAGATGGAAACAATGATGGAAAGAGATACCTAATCTTAAAAGTAGTCCTCTGAACACTCATACACTACCATATTTCCCCATGCTCTTGACTGTGTACACGCACATATACATACACAAGTAATAAATTTAATTCAATTAAGAAAAGAACATAGAATATAGTGCATTGAAAGGCAGATGTGGTTGGTAATAACAGAGCAATTAGTGGAACTATATTAACAACATTAAATACTACCACATCATTAATTCATCTTTATATTTGATTTTATAATATATTGAAATGTCTGTTAGTTATTCGAAGATGATGTTCTTCTGCACATTTCTTTATCACTTAAAATAACAGCGTCTTCATGAGTCATTCCAATCTTTCACTGTTTAACTTTCACAGTGTAAACAAGCTATTGCAAACAACTAATCTATCATCAGTAAATGAAGAAAGATGTGATTTAAAGTCAATTACATGGACGTTTCTACCACCACTTACTTCTTGCAGTTTTTCTTGGCCCTTGAAAGAAAAACAAAACAAAACAAAACAAAACACAAATCTAATACTGGATTGGCTTTAGACAAAGTATCAGTTCAAATCCCATCATTTTATAAAACAATTATGTCTTGGTCAGGGATTATTGATTGTGAAAGCCCTAGCAGTAAAAGCAAATCAAATGTCTTTGGATTTTTGTTTTATTTTGTTTTGTTTTCCTGTGTCTCGCAGTTCCTTGAGATGTTATTTCCTTCTCTGCCTTGCTTCTGAAAGTAGAAGGAGCCTGACTTCCTTTGCATGGACTAATACTAAAACACTAAGAAGACAAAAGAGGCACCAAGAGATGAAAACAGTTATGCTTCTTACGTTGATTCTGCTATTTATGAAATAAAATATAATGGAATACAGTTACATTTTTCAAGGGATTTCATCTATTTTAAGGAGCTTTTTGACATGTAGAACTTAAGCTTTGAGCTCTTTTTTTTTTCTGTGTCAGAAAGTTTGACAATATAAAAACTCTGTTTGCTATTTTTATCCCATGTTCTTCGATTCTTAATACATGTTTCCATTTTAAGCAACAACCCCCACAGGATATAGGTTTCAAGTGAGGTCCATTTGAAAATGAGGAAATGATCTTGCTCTCTCTGATTCTCTAGTTTGCCTCCCTCTCCTTCTCTGTGTTACCTAAGTATGTAGACATACGTGCTATGGGATGTCTTTCTGTGTGCTGTGAATATGTGTTGCTCTGATTGGTTGATAAATAAAGCTGCCTTGGCCTATGGCAAGGCAGCTTAGAGACAGGCAGGAAATCCAAGCAACTATATGGAGAGAAGAAAGGAGAGGAAGGAGAGACGCTAGTGGCTGCCGAGGGAGCAACAAGATGTCAGCAGACTGGTAATGCCAGGTCACATGGCAACTTACAGATTAATAAAAATGGGTTAAGTTACAAGAGGTACCTAGCCAGAAGCCTACCATGGGCCATACAATTGGTAATTAATATTAAGCCTCTGAGTGATTATTTTATAAGTGGCTGAGGGACTGCAGGACTGGGTGGGACGGGAGGAATGTGCGACTGAAGGGTCAAGCGGGACCTGAGAAACCTTCCAGCTACACATATGTGCATGCATTTGCAATATGTGTTTGATTCTTGGAAATAAGAATGAGATCAAGCCACACAAATAAATGACTATTTAGGCATGGGTGAGTAAATTTGTGTCAATAATACCCTACCCATGGAACTTTTGTAGTATTTTATTTGGAAGAATTTTATGTTTCTTTCCTTCCCCAAAGAAAAGCAGCATGCCATTGGCATGGAAAAAAATGAATCTATTATGAATGGTTTGAGAACAGGTTTTGTTTACAAGATCAGGAAGTAGAACGCTGCTCAGTGGTGAGTATATGGCATTTAACTTTTAGTTATTCATTATGTGGATAACATATTTTCAGAAAAAAAAACAAACCCTTGTACCATATAAGCAGATCACTGAGGGACATAAAACTCTTTCCTTGACCAAAGTTTGGTCCTTTTTTTCTCTGAACCCTTTGTGAGTACTCTCTAACTTGATAATCTGTTCTTGGACTATGTAATTCATGTTTAGTAAGGACTCTGGCAAGTTATTTAGGTTTTAAATCCAACTACCCTTGATATCCGGTAAAACTTCATTTCCTCACCCATCATATCTTTCCCGTCACCCTGCCTTCATCAAGAATGTGGCTGAGTCAGTTTGGTTAGACTATCTCTGATACTGATGTTTCCTCAGTGGTTTTTCTACCTATTGACCTCTGCCTATGCACCAGTCCCCAATTGTCCTTGTCGTACTCAGAATGGAACCCAGTTTTATGCCGAGAAATGTTTATTCCTGTTGTAAATATTCTTGGATGAAGTTTACCTTCAGTACTTTAGATTACACACGGGGCTGGTTTTCTAGACAGCATGCTAGCTTGGTTTACTCGAGTGAATTTTCAGAGGCTAGTAGAGTAGTTGACAAGAACCAGCTGTGGTTTCAAACAGGAGACACTATAAATAGGTAAGTATTTCTAGCATACCACAGTTCTACACCTATACATTCATTCTGGTTTAAGATGCCATGAATGAGTAATTGGCCACACTGATTTATAGAGCGTAATGAAGAGGAAACAAAATTCAAAAGTCATTTGATTAAAGGAAGGAAGCAATTGTTGGCAAAAGTCAACTGAGAATATCAAATAATATCAAACTAAATGTTTGGTGTTAATGAAAATGGTAAATATAGTCAGGATAATGATGGCAGTTTTAAATACTAGTAATAAAGCTGACTTGAAAAATCCTAATCCACAAGTAAATTTCTCTATATTGTTAGTATAATCACAATTCATTTGCATTTTTTGCTTACATATTTTATTGATAGATACCTCTAGCCCTTATTTCTTGAGATGATTTTGCCCAATGCCCTGGCTGTTTCACTCAAGAGATTTTACTGATATTAAAATGAGAGCCATTATAACAGTTAACGAAGACCAACTTATTGAGGAAAGATGTATCAGTTTAGTAAGGAATTTCCAATCTGCAAATTTTACTGAATCTTGTGCAGCAAATCTATAAGGTTATGTAAAAGGATGTTAAAAATAAATTTTAGGTTCTGCACCAATAAGAGATGTGTTGTAATCCTATACCCCACAATAATAGTTTTAAATTATCTTATACGTGAAAGTTTCTATCATTGGATATTGTACTATCAGTATTGTACTATAAGCATTGTACTATCAGTACACTCAAATTTCATTGTGTGAAGAACAAGTGAAAGATAAATTTGAAGATTAAAAATATAAAAGATTACCAAAAACTACATCTTGAAATAATGTCTGTGAATAAAACAACTGAAAATGATTTAGCCAATAAACAAATTTCAGGGAAAGGGCTCTCAAGCTAGACATTTATGCAAGGTCTTTTATTCTTTGTTAGTAAAAAAAAGAAGCACCCTGACAGATATCAATCTTTCTTGAGTGATATATCCTAGGCTTTAAAACACCAGATGTGATAGTTTCTAATAAGAGAAGTATAGTATGATTTTTAAACATAAGATAATGTAATTCTTTGATAGAATTTCTCTATAGATAATTAGACAAAAAGAATCACAGTCTTGAAAAAACATTAATTTTTATTATAATTTTTATTAAATTATCTGCAGTTACATGAGAAAGACCATATATTGTTCATAGGTTAATGATTGATTAGAGAGTTTGTTAGCTGCAAAATGAAACTAAATGTAATATAACAAAAAGCAACTTGATAAAACCGTGCATCACATTTTAATATATTTAAAGCTCAATGTCTTGAAAAATGTGACATCAATCTACACAGAACAACAGACTCAAATATCCCACTCAGGAAGATACACTTTAGATGTACAGAAAAATAATTAGCATAACAAAATAGCAATACTTTTCTGTGGAATAGTCTTTTAGAATATTTTTCTCACTAATATTATGAAGTCACTACACATCATGTAAAGAGATTTCATCAAAAAATATATGACATGACTTCTTTTTATTTTGTTTCCCACAGTACATTCCATAATGACCCTAAAATGTCAAGAAGCTTCACCACTCTTTTTCAAAGTATCATCACTCATCATACATTTAAATATAAGCTTAAGGAAAAGCCTTTGCATAATTCATAAAGATGAAACAGTAGAGAAATGCAAAATTATTCAAACAAGTTCAAGTACAGTTTTGCATCTGAATCCACTTTTTTGGCATTTAATTCAGAGTCCCTTACCCCTCCAGTACATTAACAAGCTTGGACAGACACTGTGTGTGGAACCAGTATTCTCTGAAGATATCTTTGTTTAAAATAAAAACATAATTGGTCATTATATTTTAATTACGCTTTTATTCTAAATAAGAATCATTATGTTTATTTCATAGTTTTTTAAAAAATTTGTATTTCTTTCCAGGATTTTACATATCTTTATATCTGAAATATATTTCGTACATTATTAATTTAAAATAATTGCTAAGTTAGAGGTAGAAACTAAAAGTTACTGCAAATAATTTACATAGAACTTTTGCCAATTTTTTTTACTAAATAAACAATTTAATAATTCACTATTTTGCAAGACTGAATACATCCTACTATTTGACAAAGTGCTGCAGTGAATTTCTTAAATAAATTAATAGTAATTAGGATATTGAATGGTCAAAAACAGTGGCAGTGGTTATTAGGAACTGTACAGTGAACTCTAATTGCAATGAAGTGGAATTTCCCTCTAAGGAAGGAAACATCATTTTGGGATTACAGCTAATCTTTGCTTTCACAGATTATGCTACAATGAAACAGGCTGCTGCCCTCTCTCTCTATATGAGAGCTAGGAGACAGTCTAAATGGTGTATTATTATGATCAGTAGTGTTGGATTGAACCCTGGGTCTTATATGTGCCAGGCAAGCACTCTTCTATTGAGGCACATTCCTGTGGGAAGTTATGTAGTGTTATGGATAGAATTGTAAGACCCCAAAGAAAATGCAGTAATGAATTCTGAAGGCATCGATGAGAATATGACTCAGTTGTTATATTCAATATGTAAGTCTTTTATAGAATTCTAATTTTTGTGTCAATACTTTCCACTACCCATTCATTATTCACATACATTCAGCTAAGATGGTCTTGTTAAAATTATTTGAAAAACACTGCACTTGGGAACTTGTATGGATTTATTGGTGCAGGCTAGACAATCTTGGGTCCAGTTTTATAGGACTTTAAATTTGACATTTAAAATATTGTGCAGTTTTGATAACTAAATTCTTTCCCCAAATGCACAAAAGCTAGCAATTTACTGCAAGTTTACAGTCTCCTTGAAGCCATAGAACAAAAAGGATTGATACCTCTAAAACAGCTCATTGCTCAGCCTTAAAGTCAATAGGCAATACAATCAGAATCATCTTGTTAAAAATGAATACAAATTAACAGGTCAGGAATATGTGTTATAACTGTGCTCGATTGGTAGGTATTAATTAAAAGAGCCTTGCAGTTTCAAAGATGAGATAAAAGTTCTTTCAATCACTACTATAACAATCTCCTCACTGTGGTAAAATACTTCTTATGTTTATAGGTTGTATATTCACTGATTATAATTGCCTTGGGTTGATTGTAAAATTAAATTGCCACATGGTTAGAAATCATACTAATGTGTTCCTAATATGCTAATCAAAATGTCTACTGTCTTATTGTCTTTGTCTTTTTAGTATCAATGAATACTGACCAATTTGTCTGAGAAAGACAGAGCATATACTACTAATTTTAAAGAGTTTATGATGTTGTCTATGCTGTAAAATGTGTGAAATCTATTTTGGAGTGGATTGCATTGGAGTGCTTCCATTGTCAAAATTTTGATATTAAACATATTTCTTGTTTTACTTTTCTTACCTCTCATATTCTCATAGGTCAATTTCATGGAGTGTACATTTTATAAATAAAAGGAAATTTAGTGGCTATATTCTATTCTTCCAATTAACTAGCAGGTTAAGGTATATCACAATGAGAATAGAAGACGATGTTTTCATAAAATGAGATGAATGTAGTTTTAAAACTACATGAAAGATACTCCTAATTATATCCAAATAATCTGTTTAGTTATAAAATTATTAGAGAAGCTAAGAACTCACCACCTTCTGTCAAGAATATTGTTTACTTTTTATAATTTTCATTATAACTTCCAATATCTTATATAGATACTGGACATTCATAAAATCAATGCATGTGATCATGTAATAGGTATGTATGGATTCTCATGCATTTATAATTCAAAGTTTAAAATTAAGTTTATTAGACTATATCCACACAATAAGAATTTATTATGGAATAAGGTAAATATTTAAGCCATTCATGATACTCTGTGTGTGTAGCAGAGCTGAGAGCTGGATAAGCTTTTTCGGTATGTGTTATGGAAAAACTTCTGGAGAGAATTGAAATGGTGTTAAACATCTCTTTCCCATTTCTGCAGTGGTTCTGATAGCTACCATGAGTCATAAAGAAAGATCTAGATCTTGTAGTGATTGGGAAAGTGTCAGAAGCCATGCAGCCTAGTCTTGATCGGCATATGCATGCCTGTCCAGTGGATCTCCATGAGGCAAGACCTGTGGAGATCATGTCTCACTTGGTAGGAACCTGTGGATCACACAGGTCTTTGCTGAATTTGCGCAGCTTGTAGGCTCTTTTTTCTCTTACCATGTTGTTGATTCCATTGGTGATTTTTTAGTTTTACTTTGTTAATCATGCACACAGTAGCTGTCATTTCCACTGGACATTCTGGGTTTTTTGTTTGTTTGTTTGTTTGTTTTAGTTGTTTTTTTTTTTTTTTTTTTTTAGAATTTTTTTCTTAGTATCAACAAGAGGCTGATTTTAAAATTTTTTTTTTAATCTGGAATTACTAATTACAACTCCTAATCCTGGGAACTCCTTTGACTCAATAGAGGCAGTTAAAATTAATGGATCTTGCTTTTAATAATTCTTCTAAGGAAAAGGTAGATAGGACTGACCACCTTGTGGAGAAGAAGACTCATAGAACTGTAGTGGCAGGAAGTAATAGGTACATATGAAAAAACAACACCTGGAATATTAACCATGTCTTACAGTTCTGGAAAGGAGAGTAAGACATGCATACACAAAGTAGGAAAAATGCCTCAGGAATATTCATAGTGTCAACTGTTGAGAGTAATTTCCCTGAACACCAAGCATAGAATCATTGGTAGGATCTGGTATGCTCCAAGAGGAAAAAATACACTGCAAAATGGAGGATGAATGGATCCTTCTTTACCATACATAGGAGTTTATATTGGTGGAAGAAGTAAGCATGGTGGGATGGGAAAAGAGTGCCTTCTCAAAGTCTGCCTTTTGTAGAGAGATTGAGATAGGGGACCCTCCTGTAGATAAGGAAGCTGTATAAAAGCATATCTTTCAGACATAAAAGAATTGTTTGGGTTTGAGTATTGCTGTCTTTAAAGCATTGTACCCATGTCCATCACTTTTTAGCTTTGTAACCGCAAGTAGTTGCCAGCTGACCAAAGTGCTGTGAGAGCAGCATGTGTCTGGCTCGATATTTAGTTAAGCCTGCAAAAATGCTGCACTCTATGTCTAGAAAAAGGTTATGTAGGGTTTGGGGAAGTGTATTTGGGGAAGCATAAAGGGGAACAATGACAGGTTTTATAATGATTAGGATGTATTTCGTAAAACACGGTGTATTTCTTAAAAGTCAAAAATAGGAGGCAATTATAAAGCTGTTCATGTAAGCCTGGCAGAAAAACACTCTGTCAAAGTATAATTAAAGATGGCTCGAGCTTTTCGGAGTCACTTGAGGGCAATTTACCTGGAGGTCAGAATTTTTCCTTGCACCAACACACCTTCTCAGGACCTGACCCTGAGCCAAGGCTAGACCCCGGAAGAAAAAAAAAAAAAGAAAAGTAAAAGTTGTGTATATCTACACTAAAAAGAAAACAGATTACCTAAAAACGTGTGTACTGTGGAACCAAATATTTCAAGTTAAAATGCATAAATTTTAATATTAAATAAAATAAACATCATGTACAACCTCCTCATAGCTTCTAATATGGCTAATTCAGAGTTTTTTAGAGAGTTTGTACTGGAGTTCCATCTCAAGTGAATGGCAGTGTATATGGTATCTAAATTATTTCTTACCATTGATATTTTTCTGATTTTCATTTAAAAGATTCTGGCTTTGGACTCTGGTTGGGGCTTAGTAATTTTTCCCTCAACATTTGACAGACTCTGCCTCCAATCCTTAGTACTAAGGGGAAAAAAAAATCTCATTTGACAGAGGCCTTTTGAGGCAAATACTTCAGGATGTTGTTATTATTCCAGTTGTAAAGGTTCTCTAATATCTCATTGGTTCATTACAGGGTATACATTCCTTTAAGCCCCTTCAATTCATCCCTGTTTGCCTTGTAAGGATTACCTCATAAGAGAAGGCTATTTACAGTGTTTGTGTTGGAAGACAGGGTAAGTGTAATGAAAGAATTATTTATAAGGAAAGATAAAGAAAATGTACTTTTGAGATAGCAATATTTGTATAGAATTAATGTCATTTTTGACAAATTTTCTCATGGTTCATATATTACCTTCCAACTTCAGAGATAAAAAGAAACCCCAGACATTTAATGACCTCAAATATGATGGCTAGTCACACCTGTGGTTTTCTTTGGGGCATATGTGTGTTTGTGATCATTATTTTTTTTTTTTTCTGTTTGCTTCTGGCAGGATTTACTCAATTTAAGTAATGTCAGAAAACTTTTTAAATAAGATATATAAAGCACAGAAAAATGAATGCAAGCATTTTGCCAACACTGAAGGCGTGTAGTTCATCATTACTTCAAACCCTCTGGCTAACTCTCAGCATAAACAACATATCTTGTTCTAATATTTAATACATGGTTTTGGGTCATAGATGGCAAAGGATGACATGTAGGTTTAACTTTTAGGTGTGTATTTTTTTAAGCAAAGGAAGTACACAATAAATTATTTTACTTGTTGGCTGCATATAATCACAAACATAATGTTCTTACCGTGTGTAAATTACTTACAAAAGTGATATTTTGCCTTTTATTAGCAAACACTGCTTAGCATGAATCATTTTTTAAAAAGTTAATTTTAAAATCTATGGTTGGGTTCATCAAACTACAGAGACATTGACAAGTTTTCAGCTTTAGATGGCAGTTTCTGCTTTGAGTTTTCTGAGTGGTTGAACGTCAGAAAATAGTACCATTTGGTTAAAAAACAGTTGATTTTTCTACAACACATCCGAGATCTTTTAAAATTTTTGACGGTTTCACTTTATATAATTTTATAGACTAATCAATAATTAAAATATCTAAAATCACTCTGAAAGTTTTTCAAATATGATATGAATGGCAATCATAATTAAGAAAATGAGTCATCAGAACTTGGATTAATTTTGCCGAGAATTCTGTTACACACTTTCTCCTAGTAACTGCTGTGTGACTGAAAGAGTAGGGCACAGCAGCTGAGATCATGCCATGGGCCAAGGATAAATTCCAAGCAAAGTTGTTTTTAAATTCCTCACAACTTGTGAATGACTACATTTTGAATTCATTAACTCATAACGATTAAAGCAATCTCCCTGGATACAGTTGATACGTTTCACTCATTTAGGATTAAAACCCATGGTATTTGCGGCGCATGTAACTTTCATGAGAAAATGGTTCTTATTAAAATTCTTTCATGAATCTATTTTTACTTTTCCTTGAGTTTGTTTATATCAAAATGTAAGTACTTTAGTATAATTAATATTTAAAGTCTCATTCTAATCTAAATAGAAAAATCTTATTGAATTTTGTTTAATTACATGAAATCACCAAACATCCAGACAAGCTACTATTAAATTTAACAACAACAACAAACCGTGTTGGCTTAAAAATTTCAGTGTTTGGCACTAATTAAAAATGAATGTAACACTTATTTACAAACAAAGCCTGTCTTCAGTATCTTTATCTTCATTCTTAGAGATGCAAAGATACATAGAATTTTTATATAACATGATTGCTTAGGCTGTTTATTTTAAATTTCCACGGAGACATATTTAATATCCTAAACAGTGGCTTTTATTTTGATCATCCAATTTAATATTTTGTTACTGTATGTTGTTTATACAATATTCCTATGGCTAATGTTCTAACTGAAGTGAACTTGCCACTGAGTGATTTTGTTACTTTCACTTTTAAATATACTATATACCTCAAACTATTACTTTTTATTATCCTCATCACTTGTTTCATGAATTTTACTGTGAAAATCTTGATTCCACATTATTTGCTATGATTGGATTAAAAATCAAGAAATGCCAAAGTAGTTATCATATTTACTGTATGTGCTAGTATAACATACACAACATACATTGACACTGTGGAGAAAACAGATCATCTTGCAGAAATATGAAACAGGACCCCACAATGTATATTTTGTATCCCTTAAAAGAACCAATCTTTCTCATTATGTTACATAGAAAGTCAAAATAAACTCTTTCCCCATGTGCTGTTTGGATGCGTTGGCTATCACTTGCATATCACACGCACACCCACCCACTCTGATGGCAGGGAAACTCCCTTCCTGACTACAGTGTTTTTGTAATGCCTTCAGAGACTTAATCCTGCTGCTGATGAATGTCTTCATGCCTAAGAATTTTATAGATAACCCAGTAGAAAATGTTAAAAATCAGAAACGCCAGTGGAAAGCAGGCTCGGGAGATGGTGTCAATCTTCTTGGCTCGGTCGATGAAGACCTTCCTCATTTCATCAGGGCTCTTTGGCATTACCTGGGCCGCGTGGTTGGGTCCTTTGGGAAGCACACCATCTTTTGCTTGCAGACATGGCCCCATTCCATAAGCTGTGAAGCTGAACCGGCTCTCCCTCACCTCATCTTCCTGTTTATAGAAAATAGCAGGAGATGTTTTAGTAAGGAAGCAGGGCATGCAGTGCAGGACTTCAGAATCACGGCTTAGCCTTTATCATGACATATGTTTGCTTTAATATGAAGGACAGATAGCTGAAGCACATGATGATGAGTTGATTTGAGGTTGTCCTTATCTTGTTACCTCATGGAGGAATGCTCATTAAATGACACTCCCAAATGAAGTTTTAATAGAGAGATGAAAATTCTGTGGTATTTACATGTCTCAAGTATCTAAATGAGAGTAAGAAAAAAGCTATTGAGAGATTTTATTATAAATATGTGTATCTTAGAATTTTCTAATTATGAGTTTAAATGTACAAATACCCAACAAAAGGGAAATACACACCAGAATCATTGACTGAGTTTTTCTCTCTCCTGGAGACAACCTTTTAATATTTATTTCTTACAACTTTAGCTACTTCCTTGGAAAATACAGCCTATCAGAAAATGCTGCTTGCTTTGTGTTATCTTTTATGCTGTGTCTCTATTTTATACTATCCTGTTTGCAAGAGCTGCAAGATAAGAACATGCTCTAATAGGTGGACAGCTACTTCACAGATACTGTGGTTTGGTGAATTATGAATAGAATTTGAAAGAGGTTTACTCCATGTTCAAACAGTAAACTTATTATCACTTTTTGCCTCTTTGGCTAAGATCATTTGTAAATAATAAACATGTTATAAAGTTAAAATTCATAAATAATGTTTGAAATTATGCTATTATTTCTAAATATGGTAAATGAAAGAGAAATTCCCATATATTTACATAAAAAAACTAAATTTGGGGCTGGCCAAATGGCTTGGCGGTTAAGTGTACTTGTTGCTCTGACAGATGTGAGTTTGGATCCCAGCACCCACATAGTGGCTCATAACTGCATGTAACTCTGGCCTCAGGGGATTCACTGCCCCCTTCTGGCATCCATAGGTATTGCAAGCACACGATACAAATAAACTCACAAACACACATACATACATATAAAACGTTTAATTAAAGACTATAAAATTCAATGTAAAATTAACAATTATAACATCTTTATGATAGAGAAATATGTTTTAACTAATTATATATTATTATATATTAACTAATATATAATAAAATCAATGAATACTTTAGAATATGAGAATAAATGGTTACTGATAACAAGGGTCATTTTTTTTCTAGTAAAACTGCAAGTTTAAAGGTACTGATTAACATATTTTATAGATATAAATCTTCTATGACAGTTTTTTTGTATTAGTTTAAGAGATAAAATAATCATTTGGCTCAGCTTGAAAACTGCATTAGGTCTACAAACGTAGCTGCTCAATAAAGTGTATATTATAAAATATGAAAGTGAGAAATAGAAATAATTATGGACTGAAAAAGTGAGAAAATGAGAAAGGTTGACTCAGTAATGTATGAAGCAGCTTTCTAGAATTATGAAGGTGAAGCAATTCCACCTGAAAGACAAAAGCATATAATTACTGGAAACATTTCAATTCTAAGTTTCATTAAGCAATTGGATTTGGGTGGAAGCAATTAAAATATGACAATTAAAATCACCTTAAAATAAAGCTTCCTTCCTGTGACTACTGTTGTAATTTGGCAAGAAAAAAGAAAATGGAAGTCATTTTTTTCAGGACTCTAGGAAATATGTTCATTTATGTGACTATATTTTGACTCCCCCAAAACAATTTTATGGCAAATTTATTGCATGCTTTGAAATTGTCTGTCTTTAAAAAGATATATATATATATATATACACATATATATATACACATATATATGTATATATATATTTCAGTTGTTAGTATGTAAATTGTATATTATCATCTTCAGGATTTAATAAATTATGCAGGAGTTTGCATCCCTGAATGGAAACATGCTATCTCAGTAACTTAAATTATGTGTGCAGGTCATTTAATGTTGAAATATAATGTAGTATTTAAATTATGTCAACCCCCATGTTTAAAATACATCATTAAAATGAACAAAATAACCTTCTCCATGAGTATTCGCTTATATTGGCATGTTAAATCGTAAAGTTCATTATCAAAATACTAAGATTTCACGATTTTACAATATATGTTTAACAAAACAATTCACTGACTACATTTCTTACCATTCATTCTGGACTATTTATTTTAAAGTCTTTGAGACTCAAACTGCTCTTCTCAACTAAAGGTTTTTTTTCATTGAAAATTAAACATAATGAATGAACAACCATTTTTTTTCTATTGTGTCTTTTTATACAGCTGTCTGTGTGTAGTGGATTGACAGCAGTCCTGAGCTGTTAGGACATTCTGAGAACAACCCTGGTTTCTAAGGCATAATATTCTTGAAAACATAAACTTAAGCTAAATGGCAAACAGAGTGAGTCTCAGTCACTGTGAGTATCTGAACCAGCAGGCAAGGGTCCAGAGGGCTGGGTATAGGTCTGTACAACTTCAGCCAGTGTGATGGATGGCATAAAAATTTGGTTCGAAACAAACTCTATGACTTCGGTGTGTAAAGGCAATCACGTACCCCTTGGCTTTTGTGCTCTCATCTATGTGAGTGAGGGGTGGGGGGAGAGAAGCTGTGCTCTGGAGAAACAGCTCAGACTCCTGTAAGACGATGGTGGTGCTGAACTTAGTTGAGCGATTGCTGTTGTTTAGAGAGTGCAAGTGGCAATTCAGTCCACACTTCAGCAGTGGACACAGAAGACATGTTTTAGAACAGTTTTTACTCAATATGCCTAGAAATTTTTCTTCTGATATGCTCTAAGGGGAATCGGATGCTGATCTGCTCTGGGTTTTAAGGAAGCAAAAAGATGTGCAGAAAACTATCGGGCCTGAGTCTTATTACAGGAATATGGATGGCACAGATTTATGCCCCGGGGAAGTATTATGTGGAAGAGCAATGAGATAAAAACTGAAGAGGATGTGCCTCAAGATCCAACGACTTCTTTCTTAATTAACCATCCTCATGAAATTGGAACCCACTGGTAGTAGTAGCAAGTGAAGAAAGCAGTTGGTTTTCTGACCTGGCTCAAGGTGAAAGCTTGAAAGAATATTTTGTTTAGCCTTGATTACAGCTATACCCACTGGCAGGCATCATTTGAAACTAGGATTTATAGTATATTGTGCCCAATAAAAAATATATGAGCCTCATGTTAGCAAGTTACAGGAGGTAAGCAGTTACTTTTAATTATAAAGTTGGAATTCAGTATGTCCAAAGTAATATTTCTTCATTTGTACAACATATAAATTGAAAATTTTCACCTTCTTAATACTAATTCTTTGGGAATCTGGTGTGTACTTTGTATTTATTGCATCTGTAAATTCAGACTACATTTCTAGTGTTTGGTAGCCATACATTGCCAGGATCTACAAATTGGGCAAAATAGTTGCGGTATAATCTTTTGGGTCATTTTGTAGAGTTAGCAAAGTTCTGTGTGATCCATGCTTTCATGAATCTTCAGGTTAATTAATGTAGGAGCTAATGATAGACTTCCAGATGATGCAGTGTTCTTATTAATGAATTACTGGCCTTAGTGATCATTGGCCAGTTTTTGAGTAACGGATGTGTGTGGTGCTGTTAATCAATCCTGAGAAGAGAACTTGTTTCTTACTTCTGTGAAGTGGAACACTCCTGTAGAAGTGTAGATTTATTAAATTCAGTAGGCAGTGTAGGCCAGCCACATTATCATCAGAATGTTTGGTAGAAATGATGAATTCCACCTTGCAGTGTTCTTATTCGTGAATTACTGGCCTTGATGATCAAATCGCATTCTCTAATCTAAATTCTCTAGAATGACCATGGGTAGGGGAGGTCTGCCTTTACAGAAAGTGGGAGGACATGTAGATTCGTGGGCACATTTATTCCTGTAAAGATCATGCTGGGTAAACTAGTGGGAGGAAAATATCTCTTGACTATTTAAATGAAAGACCATTAGCACGTAACATATGGCTGTTAAGAAACTAAAAGACAACAGTGAAAATGGGTAGGATTCCTGTGAATGATTTTCTGGCACATCTGAGAATCTGGAAATGGGCTTAGTTTTAGAAGCTACCACACTTAAGCAAGTCTACTAGATTTATTAATATCAGACATTAGAAGCAATGATAATAGTGGAAAATGAGGATAAAGACACTGAAATAATTTCTTTAATTCATCCCATCCCTTCAAATAGATCTAATTGGACAAATGAAGTTAAGGCTGTTGACACATAAAGATTGTCTTGAAGGTCAGGATTATGTTGCCCAACTCCGAGTAGGAATTCAAGATAAAACAATATTTAAAATGGAAAGGTCAAGGAAAGTGAACACAGATTTTTGAGATACTGGAAACTAGTGGAAAATGTATACTATTAGAAAGGAGCAAGAAGGCAATAAGAGAAGATGAAGAGAAGCTGGTGGAGCAGCAGAGGGGGAGGCAAAGTGGCTGGCTGTGGTGGGAGGTTTCAGTGGTCAAGAAGAGTCTAGGTAGGAAGAAAGAGTACAGAGGGGACTTTGACTCCATGTGCAGTTGAAAGAATAGAACTTTGCTGTTTCTGGTCTGAGACTAATGTTGATGGGCCATTTTTTTTTAGTATATATTTAATTGGATGTATTAGAATGGGACCGTTACAATTATCCAAATCTTCATCTGAAGTAAATATCAAACACTATTGGCTGAGAGATGATACTTGGAATCCTCATCTCTGATTAAGTGATTGGAGGCAGGGTAGTAGTCCTAATAAGCTTTGCTAGAACAGTCTGTCTGGCCTTTGAATGAACTAGACAGATCTTGGCAGGCTGGCTATTATTTGTGTTCAGTAAAGAATTCCTACACTCATCTTCACACTCTGGATGTGGTGAAACTTCTTGAGAGTTCTGTCAGGACAAAGGAAGTAGTTATGATTTGACTGATGTTTCTAATATTTTCTTTTTAATCTCAATCTAATAATAAAGCCAAACACAGTATACATTTATGTGGGAGAGATACAGTTAATATCTCTTTTCCTCCCAG